TATAACAATGCTTCAATTACCAATTTTGGTTGTGTGCTTATAAAAAAAGGTAAGGTGGTTGATTATGCTTTAAGCAAATTGAGGTTATATGAGCGTAATTTTTTTACGTATGATTTGGATTTAGTCGTTGGGCATTATCATTTGTAAGGTGAGATGTGTATCATTTATACATAGATTACAAGAGTCTTAAGTACCTCCTCACCTAGAAAGAGTTGAAATCGAGATAAAGGCTTTAGATTGAGTTGTTGAAGGATAACGATTGTTTGATCGAGTCTCATCCTACGAACGCCAATGTTGTTGTTGATGCTTTGATTCATGGATCGATGGGAGATTTATAAGTTTTGTTTGCCAAGTTGAGTGTGGCTTACGATTGTGTTTTGGTTGCTGAGATGCATATTAGGTTGACGTTGTTGTAGCATATCAAAGAGTTGTAGCCTTCTGATAGATTTTCAGGAGCAAAGATTTAATTAGTTCAAGGTGGTTTGGTTGGTGATTTTTCTTTCTTTGATGAGGGTGTTCTTTTCTTCCATGATAGATTGTGTGTTCTAGATTATTCTGACTTAAGGTATGAGATCTTAACTGAGACGCATAGTGGTCCATTTGTTATACACCCATGCAACACAAAGATGTATCATGATATTCATGAAATTTATTGGCGGTTGGGGCTGAAACGTGAAGTTGTGGATTTTTTTTTTTTTTTTTTTGCTAAATGTTTGGTTTATCAGCATGTGAAAACCAAACATTAGTGTCCTTTCGGTTTACAACAGCCTATTATTATTCTACAGTGTAAGTGGAAAATGATCACTATGGACTTTGTATCGAGTTTTCCTTTTACTCTATCAAAGAATGATTCGGTTTGGGTCATATACAAACATTTTTTCAAGAGTGTACATTTCTTTATCGTGCATGTCTTATTTGTTGTCGAAGCTTGTTGAGTTGTATATTGTTGAGATTGTGCATCCAAATGTTGTTATGCTTTTAATCATTTCAAACCATGATATATATTTTACGTTGTGATTCTAGAAAAGTTTACAGGAAGCTTTAAGTTCGAACCTTAGTTTTAGTGTAACTTATTATCCGAAAATCGATGGTCAGTCTGAGTGTGAGATACATGTGTTGGAGGTTATGCTTTAAGTTTGTGTCATTGATTTTAATGGTTCTTGGGAGGTATATATCATTAGTAAAGTTTGCTTACAATAATAGTTTCTAGTCGAGCATTCAGATGGCCTCGTTCGAGGCTTTGTATAATTGGAAGTGTCATGCTCTATTGCGTTGGACCGAACTTAGCAAGAGGCGTGTTGTTGGTCCAAATTTGGTTCGCGAGGATGAGGATAAAGTGAAGTTGATTTTGGATGAGTTAAAAGTTACGTTTAATCATTAGAAATCATATGACGATTTAAGGCATCGTGAGATTTTGTATGCGATTGGTAACTATGTTTTCTTGAAGGTTTCACTGTGGAACCGTTGAGGTTTGACCATAAAAAGAAGCTCAGTCGGAGGTAGGGGTGCACAAAAAATCCGAATATCCGAATATCCGAAAAAAATATCCGAAACCGGTTTTGGGAAAAACCGGTTTTTTTTTAACCGGATCGGATTTTTTTAAACCGGTTATTTTAACCGGTTTGGAGAAAAAAACCTAGACCGGTTTTTTTACCGGATAAAAAACCGGTTTGAAAAAAACCGGTTAAAAACCGGTTTTTATCCGGAAAAAAAAACCGGTCTGGGTTTAAAAAACTAGTCGTTAATATAGCCGTTTGTGACCGTTTTTGACCGTTTTTTTCTTTAAAAAATTACCATTTTACCACCCTAAACATGTATAAATAGGTTGGGGATGTATTTGGTTGATTACAACTTTCTCAAATCTTATTACACAACACTTAAACATCTCTCAAATCTTAGTTTTGTAATTTTTTATTCATCATGAGTAACACTGCTGAATCTTCCGTCGGGGGAAACCTTGAAGTCGTGAGAGTGATCGAACACACTCGAAACAAAGATATTTGGGATCACTACATTTATGTGAGATGTCAAATGGCTCGAGGAGGGCGCGTTGTAAACTTTGTCTAAAGTTTCTTGCATCGGAAGGAAACACAACGTTGAAGAACCATTTGACAAAATCATGCAAGGCACTTCGCTCAAGATCGGATCCTAGTCAATCGAATCTTACACCGCAAGGTGGTGTTTTTGTTTACGACAACGAAAATTACGAGAAGCGTTTACAAGTTCGTGATTACAAAAGCATTGCCGTTCGACCACTTGATGATGAAGATTTCACGACAACAATTCAACAACTAATGCAACCACGTTATACTCAAGTAAGTCGTACTACCCTTAGAAGAGATGCTATAAAAATGTGGCGTACGGCGAGGGAAAAAATGATTTTAGGATTCCAAGAACACCGTTATGGTGTGTCGCTTACATGTGACGTTTGGAGTTCCCCTCATAATACCGGAAATTCTTTTTTAGCCGTTACGTCACATTGGTTAGATCAAGATAATTGGCAAATGATGAAAGAACAATCGCGTTTGAATTATTCGGTGAGCCGCATACCGGTGCTAATTTATTTACACTTTTAAAACGGGTAATTTGTCTTTATAAATTAGAAAATAAAGTTTTTTCTATATCTTTTGATAATGCATCGAATAATACAAACGCGATTCCAAGATTGAAAATATTACTTTCACCGATTTTAGACGGTGCGTTTTTTCATACCCGTTGCGTTGCACACATAATTAATTTATCCGTGCAAGCCGGTTTGGAGGTTATTGAGCCAATTAGATTAGAATTTAAAACAATGATAAAATCGATTCTTTGTAACACAACAAAAGACTAAATGATTATAAACGATTTTGTAAGTCTGTTAATAAAAAAGCTTTGGGTCCTAATTTGGATTGTCCAACTCGTTGGAACTCAACTTGGATGATGATGCATACTGCCTTAAGGCAAAGGGAAACATTGCAAACATTTCACGATCGGCTTTTCGAGAGGGTCATGTCCCAGACATTTATCCGGATTCGAGTTGGGAAACTATAGCCAAAATAACCGATTTGCTTGAGGTTTTTAAAAATGCAACAACTTTTTTATCCGTGTTTATTACCCTACTAGCCCGTTGGTTCTTAATCAAATATTTTTGTTGGCTACCCGACTAAATGACTTTGAATTTGAAATCGAAGTTTTCAAGAAATTGGCTTTGCAATGAAGGAAAAACTTTTAAAATATTTTAAGGAGATTCCCCCCATTTTTACTTGTGCCGCCGCTTTAAACCCAACGTTAAATGTTGGTGGGGTTGAAACACTAATTGAACAAATTGCGTTTGCTTTTAATCTAACCGATGATGAACCCAACTTTGTCCAAAACCAAATAAATTATTTAACAAATGTTTTCGAGACATGTTTGCAATTTATTTAAATAAATACGGATCAAGTAGTGTAATACACGATCAAATGAATGAATGCGGAATCATCTAGTAGACGTCCAAGTAACATAAATTTGAATCTTTTTAACACTCTTGTAAATTCCCAATCCAAACGATCACGTACTACCACCCAAGTAGCGAGTTGGGAAATTATATGTCATGCGATTTTCTATCAAAAATGACATTTGAAGAGTTTGAAAGTTTGGATATTTGGCTTGGTGGAAAGAAAAGGAAGCACAATTTCCGATTCTAGCCGCCATGGCCCGTGATTTACTAACCGTCCAAGCTTCTACGGTAGCTTCGGAATCCGCTTTTTCTGTTAGTGGCAGGGTTATATCGCAACGGAGATCAAGACTAAGTCCCGAGTCGGTGGAAGTATGCATTTGTTTAAAGGATTTTTGGATGGAGCGGCTCGTAAGCAACATATCACCACCCTAGAAGATGCAATTGATGCCGATTTGGAAGCAAACTTACACATTGAAGAAGTCGAACTTGGAATATCCCCTCCAAACGAAGAAGGCGAAGATGATGAAGAAGAGATGGCAATGTAGTTTATTTTATAACTTTATTTCAATTATCGTAAACTTTGTTTCAATTATCGAACTTGAAGTTTTTAAGTATTTGAATTTATCGAACTTGGAAGTTTTTAAGTATTTGAATTTATCAAACTTGGAAGTATTTAAGTATTTCAATTATGTTGAGTTAATTAAGTATTTCAATTAAGTATTTGAATTTATCGAACTTGAGGTTTGATGCTTTCTCTTTGATTCTCTCTTGATTCTAGTTGCTTGATGTTTCTTGTCTTTGATCAATGACTTCTAAGCTTGCTTAAATACACCTTGAATCACTTCTGAACGTTAGTGATAATTAATGAAGATAATATAGCCGTTTAAGTGTGAAAACATTTAATAAAAATGCTTAGAGCGTGGGGGAATCAGTACCCTCTCATAGGGAATCGGTTCCCTAAGTGTAAAATTCAAATATTTCGACCGTTGAATAGGGGGGAATCGGTACCCCTATGGGGGAATCGGTTCCCTCCGAGCATTCTGGAAATCTCGGAGCCAAACCATTCAGTGAGGAATCGGTACCCCCTTGGGGGGAATCGGTTCCCTATGAGCAATCTGGAATATTAAAATCGGTTTTTTTATAACCGGTTTTTTAAAAAAACCGATTTTTTTAAAACCGAAACCGGTTACACCGGTTAGGATATCCGGTCCTCCAAACCGGTTAGAAACCGAACCGGTTATTTTATAAACCGGTTTTTTTTCTACGGGAAAAAACCGGATCGGATAAAAACCGATCCGGATCGGATTGAAATCCGAATTATGTGCAACCCTAGTCGGAGGTGTGTTGTTTCGTACGAGGTGATTAGTGTATTGGTCATGTTGTTTACCATCTTCCTTTTCCTTTTGAGCTTGAACGTTGTAATACCCTAATTTTGTCCAAACATTTTAAATTCACTTGAAGATGTTCGAGAATTAATTTGGAGGTAATCATGCTCAAATGAAGACTTAATTCAAATAACGAATTATGGGAGTTTGCGTTTGGAAGCTAGAGGTGCTTAATTGAATTGATACCATATATGTTCGTTTTGGAAATCAATATACAAATTTAAAGTCAATCCAAAATCCAAATTAAGTGTAAAGTCCATTTACGTCTTACAAGCCCAAATTAGACCCAAATAATTGCAACCCAATTACATCTAGAGCCCAATTACAAGCTCAAGACCAAGCCCCACGTGGAGCACCTCAATTAAGTGACCCAACAAGTGCCCTGCTCCACGTCATAGCTGCCCACGTGAAACACCCAGCAGCCCACGTTCTGCTCCACGAGCACACCAACAGGGACTGTCGCCCATGTCCTGCTTGCTCCACTAACCAAGTGCCCATGCCCTGGCACCATGGAGAACACCGAGAAGAATCAGAAGCCCGAGGCAGTGCGCATTCACCCTGCCAGCTCGACTCCCCAGCTCGTGCCCATGCTCCACTACAACACCACAACCGAACAAGCCACACACTGCTCCATAACCTCCATGCTCTGCAACATCGAAATACGAACACAGATAAAAAGAAAGCAAACATTAACACAAAGAGAGGGATTACCAAGCAAAAATTAGCTATCAAGAGCAGTGAACAACCAGAGAGAACAGGCATCAACAGGGGGAGTGTTTTTTTTACGAACGAAAAAGGGGAAACAATTGTAACAGGGGAAAAAGCATTGTAATTTCTTCACACCTATTCGAGAGCAATAGAAATATATCCCAGTTTTATTTGATTCCCCATTTCTGATGAACAACATCATTATCGTAAAAAAAAAAAAACATCAGCAAGAGCAATCAGCAGGAAAAGGAGACAACAACCAATCGAAAACAGTGAAATCAAAGGGTCTTCTTCCCTTTCATTTTTTTACGCAGGGCTACAACAGATTTCTTTTTCGTTTTCCTTCAAGCAATGTAAGTATTAAAACTTATTTTCGTATATGAGGTATTTCTTTATATTTATAAAAAATCAGTGGAAATTTCCTGAGATATTCGATTTTATTTTAAGTTCTAGTGTGTGGGTATGAGAGTGTTTTGAAATAGAAGTAAAATAAAGAAAGGAAGCAAGATAGTTTACCTCGGGGTCGAGTAGTGTAGGCTCAGGTTTGGGTCGTTCATCGGGTTACTGTTTGGGCTCTTCATCGGAGTCCGTTGAGGCGACGTAGGCCGTGGCGGCGATGGTCTGGTGGGGCTAATGTAGAGCGAAGTAGAGAGCATTTGCGAGGTTTTTTTTTCAGTTTAGTTTTCAGGTTTAGGAACGTTTTAGAGGGGTTGTCATCATAACCAGTTTAGATGAGGATTTAGCTCCTTATCGGAGCCGTTGCGCACGGTGGCCGTTGTTTCTGCTGGGCTTTGAGAGGAAGGAAGGAGAGAACGACGCTATTGCGGAAGAATAGGTGAGGAATTAGAATGTGTATTAGATTTATCTCTTACTCAAATTAAGGTATACCTGTGCATCGAAACGGCAGCGTTCAGGGAGCTGGGGTCCATTTCGCGTGTGGGTATCCATTGTAGGGGCCATCTGAACTTTCAGAGTTTTTCGTTTTGATCCTTAAATCATGGTTTTCAAGTTTCTGATTGTGTCTCTATATTATTTCCGTATTTAATTTAAGTCCCAAGTAGTAGTGTATTTAATTTTGTTGTTTTTAGACATTCAATCCTTACATTGTTGCATGTTTCTTTTAGTCCTGTGTTGTTTAGAGTTTATCATAATTTTAGTCCATTATAGTGGTGATTTGTTTTATTTTGGTTTCATTGTTTACTATGTGTACTATTCATATGTCCATTTCAATTTGTTTGTATTTTAGATATTAAAATTCGGTTAATGTGATTTGGTCATTAGTTTAACATGTAGTTTTTTTTTCATGGTTGGTATGTTATGTTTTTATTTTTTGTATTTAATTCTCATTAGTATGTTACGTATTGATATATTAAGTAATGTTATTGCATGTTAATTTTTCATACATTATTTATTAATTAGATAATTTTTAATGTTGTATGTTAACCTCATGTGCATGACTCGACGTTGTTACATAATCGGATTAAGGGTAACCCTTTTAATTTAAAACTGTTGGAATGGCTTCTCTTAACTTACTAGGGTCGTTTCGATGATTTTAAATTACGAGTGTATCCTATCAGTGCCGCCAAAAGAATTGATTCATCACTTTAAAATTTGTGAATGAAAGAAAGAAATATTCGGCTATTAAATTCATTGAGAAAAGATAGTTAGAACTCACCTAAAGGTCTGGTCTCAATATTTGTAAATAATCGAATATTCTTTATTTTTCTAATGATTTGGTAGTTTTAACTAAATCTATTTCATTGCTTTTGAATATTATAAAATTTGCATTGTTGTTTTAAGGGATCGAAATCAAATTAAACTCGAACTTGTGAAATTCGTTGCAAAGACATTAATTAACCGACTAGGTACCGATTTAGGGCGTTGTGGGGGTGCTAATCTTTCCCCACACGTAACCGACTCCCGAACTCGGATACCGCAAATTTTTCGTTTTAATTAAAATTAATTTTTATAAAATGACAACGTTTTTGGGTGCCCAGTCACACCCTAATCAAAAATTGGTGGCGACTCCTCGAACCATATGTTTTTATCGTAAAGGAATTTCCAAATTTTTGAAACGAGAGGTTTTCTAAAAATCACATTGATTTTAATTAAAAATTCAATTAAAAAGAGAATAATTAAAAATGATGCGTTTTCAAAATATCACCCCTCACCGTTTAAAAATTGTTTCGACAGCTTGGCGACTCCACTGGGGACTTTTTTTAGAGAGTCAAGCCTATAGTCGAATAATTGATTATCTTTGCAAATGAAAGTTATAAGTTCGTTCTAATTTTGTTTTTGATCCCTTGTTTGTTTTAAATTTCTTGTTTACATTTAATTGGTTATTTGGTTAACGAATAAATAGTTGTACTAACGTATGATTTGCATGTTTCAGTTTTCTGACCTTTACTTTAGTTTGTGGTGTTTCTTGGATCAGGGAAAAGGATTATGGGTTTCCCTTTACTGTCGCTACAACCTTTCAATATTTAGAGTCTTCTTACTATGCTCTATCCCGTTAGGTAGGGATGAACACTACACTTACATGAGAAAAATTACTTTTCTCTGCATGGGCTTTAGCAAGTAACCTCTGGGGTACATGCCTTATGTTTACGAGTGAAACATTGAGTTTCCTCGCATGGACATAGGGAAATGTATCATCTCGAATTGAACTTGATCCGTTTTAAGCCTATAATTGGTGAGGATCGAGAGTCTGACAAGCTTAAGGGGGCACCAGTAAAGGACAATTTGAGGACCCTTTAGTGATATCAAAACTCTGCCCATTTTATGTTGAATCTCTATCCGCAGACACAAAAGGGAAACTCATTCTAGTCTTTTCCTCGAAGTTATTTAGTTTTGCAAAAAGTATGAGAACTAGAAAAATATGCGGTTAGGTTTTATATTTTCGTACAAAGCATATGAATTAGATACCATGCGGTTATGATTTTTTGTGAATGACAAAGCATGTAGGTAGATATCATGCTGGGTAGGATCTACTAAAGCATGATTGGGTAGCCAGCATGTGAGGGTAGGTTTTATTTGATGTTTACGGTATTCACTATCTTGTTGTTTATCTTATGTGCACTAACCCATTTTTGTTCTCTGTCTATTTTATTTTGATTTTATTGCATTTGCATCCTCATGTCATCGAGGGGTGTTAATTGGCAAGTGATTGACTAACAAGAAGGCTGACCATATTGAGGCAAGAAATTCTCCACCATGTAGTCAAAACCGGGAGATCCAGAGATGTTCAAACGATCCATTAAGAAGGGCACCCGATAAAGAGATCTGAAGCTGATTAAAGAATTCCTTTAAAACTGTAAAGGCCAAGATGTTGAGTCAAGGGATAGATACAGTCATACCAAGGACGAGAATACCATTCATAAAGACATGAAGACCATTTATAAAGACATAAAGACCACTTTGCATGGGAGGTAAGAATGAAGATTTCAAGATTAAAGACATCTGACGTCATCAAAGGTGATAAAATACACCGAAAACTTTGGGTGTAATGTTAGATTCCATGAAGAATGCGGCTCGAGGGAATGAAAAGATAAAGAATCGTAGTTGTATTTTGATTACATGGTGTACTTACTGAATTCTTGTTGTCTAAGTGAACGGTTGTTCTATAAGTGGTCACTTTTGGGATTAACACCTCGTGCATTTGCATTTTGCATTGCATGTATTTAGTTAAGCATTTTATATACATTAACTATGAAAACACAGAAACAACTTATGAAAGGTTTTTGTTCAGTAGTAACAAGATCATTTATTCATTTTGTTCCTCATTATCATGAACAAACAAATGGAAGCAATGGAGCAATCTAATGAGAAATCACAAGATCAGTTGCAAGAGCAGTGGTCGGTTACAACAAGATACGAGGAATCAATCATCGGGTTATCTGCAAGGCACATCGAATCAAATGATCAAGGTGCTACACACAGGTTGCTGGTAAAGAGAAAGTGGAGGATAAAGGAAATCAATGTCATCATACTAATGCATCAAGAGTGATAATTTGCCCCGAAACATCTAACTCAAACCATGGGAAGAGCATCGTCAATTATGAGCAATTTGAAAACGAATTCAGTGGTTGAATGAAGCCGTTAAAAATATGAAGGTTGTTAATGCCACTTACAAGGAGTTAGAAGCCAGAAAACTCAGTTGGTCCCTGACTTGGTCATCCCACATGAATTTAGGGTGCCTAATTTTGAGAATATGATGGCACCAGTTGGCCCCTAATTCATCTAAAATGTTTTGCAAAAAGATTGAAGGGTACATAGATGATGATAATTTGTTGATTCATTTCTTCCATGACAGTCTTGTTGGGCCAGCTGTAGTATGGTATAACCGCTTGAACAGAGAGCAGATTAAGACATGGGTCAACCTAGCTGATGCTTTTCTGAGGCAATATCGATAAAGGCTTAGCCCCAAAACGCCATCACCTTCAAAAGATAAGGATGAAAGCTACTGAGAGCTTTAAAGAATATGCCCTAAGATATAGAGGAGTGGCAGCACAAGTTCAGTCTCCTTTGCTAGAAGAAGAAATATCATGCATGTTTCATGACTCTCTCCCAACTCCTTTCTTTGAGTTAATGCTGGGAAATTCGATGAATGGCTTCAATGATCTTGTGGTGGCTGGAGAATCAATTGAAGATGCAATCAACAAAGGAAACTTGAAAGTCACTTCCAAAGCCCAAGAAATCAAGAGAGAAGAGCCGATGAGGTGAATGAATGTCACATCCAGAGCTCTCACAGCCGTAAAAGAAAAGAGGCAGCTAGTTGCTCAAGTCGTCCAAAGAAAGTCTTACGATCGAAAGATACTTTGAAGGTGTTCCAAATTCCTATCTCAGATTTGTACCCACATTTGATTAATGTCAATAACTCAAACCAAAGCCAATAAAATTACCACCAACCCTTCTGCCCGTAATTACGATCTAGATAGTGTCTGTGATTTCCACTTAGGGGCATTAGCGCATGCTATGGAGAATTGTAGGATGTTGTTCAGGAGATAGAGAGGCTTCTTGAAAATGGACGTTGACGTAAGAATTGGTAGACAATGGATAACGAGCTCGAGTGGGGAACCAGAGCACAATGTGAAGCACCCGATCGAATCAAGCACCACTGCATCAGAAGAATAATGGGGTATCCTGACTGCGCAAAATCATTTTGTCATCATGAAACTTTTTGTCATTTGCAACATCTTGTTTGAACATATTTTTACTTTCTCATCATTTTTTGTAATGAGTTTAAATGAATTCATGTTACTTTAAGGATGATGAGCATTGAATCAAATTTATGACTTGAAATTCTTTTAATATCAACTGAATCAAAAGCTCTTTAATAATGATGAGTTGTAAATCTTGACAAAATGACAAGGTTGGAAACTGATAAAACAAGGACCTTGACCTTATCCCCAGAAGATACAATTGAACACCATACCTTGCAGGGACCGATATAGCATTCTCCTCTTATAAGGAAATGAGCAATAGGCTTGGTATTCTGTATGCATAGGAGCGGACAACATGGGGCTTTTATGTATGACATCACAAAACTGAATAGACCACACTTTTGTTGATGAAAGTTCGATGATGATAATAATCTTTACGGATGGAATAGTTGAGTAGGTGAATCTAGTTTTAGTCAGTTGCTTGGAAATTGAACTCTAACGATGAGATTTTCTGACTTTCGACAACACCTAGACTATGACAGGTTCTTCTTGACAAGCTTAAGAAATTGAATCCGAATACCCAAATATATATATATTATATATATATATATATATATATATATATATATATATATATATATATATATATATGTGTATACAATAAAGTTGA